TACAGTCAATAGCATATCTGCAGAGTGACGTCTAACTCCCCAGCCTTGATTCTGGCTATAGCTATAAAAACGTTTTATTATTATAATAAAATAATTTTTTACAATTTATATATGTAATCAAACATTTTGGTTTATTTTTCTTTCCTAAATAGCTTTGTTTGTCTAAATTCGATATATTTTAAATATAGTCTAACTTTAATCCTATTATTATTATTATATATAATATTATAAATGTGAAAGTTTCTTTGTTTGGATGTTTAAGTGTTTGTCCATCAATCACGCCGAAACTACTGAACGGATTTTGATGAAATTTGTTATACAGACAGGGTATTAGTTGACTTAGATAATTTTTATCCCAGTAAACATTTCCCTAGGGACCATGCGGGTGAAGCCGCTGGCGAAAGCTTGTAATTTAATAAACTAAAAAACCAAAAGCATTAATTGAATATGTAAATAACAAAACAAAATCATTTTATGATTATTTTAACATATTCATGAATATGTTCTTTCTTATAGCAATGGCTACAGTTATGGCTAGATTGTGAGGTGTTCACTCCCCTGGTTATAAGTACCTGTCAAGCGTCCGGCGTCAAGCATTGAGGATAGAGTTTAAAATTTAATTGACCAAATTTTACATATCGTTGTAACCTGGGGTACTGCTGTGCTGTGTACACGGATTGAAAGTGACAAACCCTGTAATAATAGAAATGTAATTACATTCCAGAACACTATAGTATAATGACTTTTTAACACCTTTGCTTGTAAAGCTGATGTAATTCCACCGGTTTTAAATATGTAAAGCGGGTCATAAAAAACTCGTGTGTTACCAAAGCAAATAGTTAAGTTATAGTCCATACAAATTCCATAACAGTATTATTTGCCATTTCGCGCGCTGTTGCTATTGAAATTTCGAACTAATCGCCGCGCGGCGCCAGTCAGTAGGCTGCGCTAGCGCGCTGTTAAAATGGCGGGAAAGCAACAGTGTACATTCACAGATTGAGTTTATTTAATGTTTTCTTTTCTGTTTCCTCGCAAATGTGTTAAAAAACGTCGTACGATATACGTGCGTATTGGTTATATATAACATGCTCGGCTCAATTCCGATTTCGGCTCCGGCTGAAATTACGCCTCGCATGTTATAACCATCATAACGCACTAATATCGTAATGTGCTATACGAGGGTCAAACTGAAAGTTCTTAGAAAATCAAAAACTGATTACATTAGCCAGTTATTAGTTTTATTATATCTTTTCAAAATATTGTCCATTCACGTCAATACACCGCTGCATGCGATGGAACCACTGGGAAAAGCACTTTGCCCACTCGTCCTTAGGGGTCTCTTCAATGGCATCGCGATACGCAGCCACCGCTTCTTCAGCATTCATAAACCGCTTTCCTTTAAGTTTATCTTTAATTTTTGGAAATAAATAAAAATCACAAGGCGCGAGGTCGGGGCTATACGGCGGGTGACCCAGTAATTCAACGTTTGATGTCGCCAAATAGTCGATCGTTCGCTTGGCGGTGTGCGACGAGGCGTTGTCGTGGTGAAGGAGGATCCTACTGCGAGGTCGTTTCTCTCGAACTTTTTCTAAGACAAGTGGCAAACAATTGGTAGTGTACCATTCTGCAGAAACTGTTTTTTGATCCTCTAACACAATTGTTGCAAAATGACCTATCCTTCCAAAGAACGAGGCCACCATTTTTTTTCCCGCACTTCGATCTCTCTTCACTTTAGTTGGCAACTCCTCGAAAGGAAACACCCACTGAGCAGATTGTCTTTTGGTTTTAGGATCATAACAGTAAATCCAGCTTTCGTCACCTGTTAGTATGTCGAACACAGCATTTGAGTCACCTCCGTTAAATCTTTCAATCATTTTACGACACCAATCCACACGATGGAGTTTTTGAGCCTCAGTCAAATTATGAGGTATCCACCGGGCGCAAAGTTTCCTGACCGCTAAATGTTCATGGAGGATTTTGTGCACTTGACTCATACCGATGTCTAAGCTTGTCCGAATCTGTTGATAGGTCACTCTTTTGTCAGTCTCTATCATACGCCGCACAACACAGATGTTATCTTCAGTCGTCGCCGTAGAAGGCCGTCCCTCACGTAAATCATCAGTGAGATTAGTGCGACCACGTTTAAACTCATTAAACCAGTTGTAAACAGTCGCACGAGATGGGGCTTCATCGTGAAAGGCCAATCGTAGTCTATCATAACTTTCTTGTTGACTTAAATGACATCGAAAGTCATAAAAAATCATTGCACGAAAATTTTCTCGTGTTAAATTCATGATGACGTGACACAGACAATTTTCAATTTGCCGCCAAATCGTAAAACAAATGACAAATGAATGAAATATATACTCAGTAATATTGGCAAAGAGTTATATTTTCAAATTTTAGAATTATTTTTTTATTATATTGTTTATAAGTGGCCAGTTCTAAGAACTTTCAGTTTGACCCTCGTACTTCTATTATCTTAGTTATTTACAGTACTATAAGCGGTGTTTGACAAGTTTGATACTAAATTTAGTCTAGTTGGTGCAATAGAATTGCCACTACTTTTTACCACCCATATCAAATTATAATATTAACCAATTTTCACATACATCCATTAAATTCACCATCAGTTTACGGCAATTAACTGGCCGTTGCACAAACTTACATTAAAATTGTAATTAATTCACAGCAACTTAATGCTCGTTACACACACGTCCATTTAAATTGTAATTAGTTTACAGCAACTTACTGCCCAACGTCCATTAAAATTATCAATATTTACAGTATACTCTACATTGCACAAAAATCCATTAAAAATGTCATTAAATGACAACATCTTACACTAATATCAATTACAATTGACATTAGTTTAAAGTCATGTCACCAATACAATGTTTCAAATAAAGAACTTAAATTGTCATTAAACTTTGGTGAAAATGTTTTCGAAATGCGTTCAAATAGTACAATAGTAGTGGTAAAATCAAAATATATCGATGTTAAACAACAATAACATGCAAGTCCATAGCAATAAAGGTGATATTGCTATCTAGCTTTTTATGAAAAGCTTAACAAGGAATCGTATAATCTAGGATCAGCTCGTTACGTTAGTTCGACACGTCAATTGTGGTATGTGGACACTTTATCTGTGCAATCAACGAAGTCGATTGAGTAAGTGAGTTTTATCGACTATGTTATGCGTACAGAATAATACTGCTTCAAATTGTTTTTTTAACGATGGATTGTTTAATTATGTGGATATTGTCGTATTTCATGATCAGTGGTCGGAATTAGGTAGAGTTATTCATGTACTTACACTAATTTCATACAGCGAAAGAATAAAATGGATATGCCTCAAATCCCGAGATTAATTTTAAAGAGCAGAAAAAATTCCGTGATTTTTTAAATAAAAAGTTATTCACTTTTACACAATTTAAACTACTGCTCGCACGACTTTGCCAAACTTACATCAATGACATCGGATGTCCAAAGTCGCAAAATAAAATACCATTAGAAATCCCGGGAAGGTCCACATTAATATCAACATTTCGATGCAAGTACATAAATAACTCTACCTAATTCCGACCTCTGTTCATGATAATGGATATATCTTGTCACAGCAATTGTGTGATAACTAGCGGTGACTGGTCTGCACCATCCAAAAGCTTGGCATCCCAACTGCTATACAAAGGTATAGCAAATGGCGGCGTAACGAGAAATTCAAAATTCAAATTCTGCATCATTCCATCTCGGCTGTTACAAGAAGTCGTGAATATATGCCTTCGGTTAGCAAATCCACATCGGGAGACCTATAACCGAGAAAAACCGGCAAAAAACTCAGCAAGGGCAGCTTATTTCTCTCCGTTTTATTTCATACAGAAAAATCTAACTAAAAACGACTTAATTAGATTATGAAGTCACTTTACATTAGGTAAAGATTACCAAAAGAGCGATGACAATGTAATATGATGAATGCTATATAAAAACACTTAAAATATTCTACTGTCTAACTGGGATTAGAAAGCTGTTCTTTAGTAATGAAAATAACTAAGTAAGTACATGTTTAAAATTCAAATAACGTAGGTTTCGTTATATAAAGTTTTACAATTATTACGCACTTATCAACATCAAAAACCAAATTATAATGTGCCATTAGCTCAAGACCACTTCTTATTCTAGTATTCCGCTACATAATCGACAGAATTGTCTATGTCCGTAATTTGCAATAATTAAAGTAACTATCAACTCTTAAGCAAATATAACGTTAGTTTCAAATAATAGCATTTTTTACTCTAACGTGTTAAACATAAGAACTATACGTGAACCGATAGCATCTCAGATTCCGATCACATATAAATGGTAATGGTAAAAAGTAGTTCTTCTTTCGTCGCTAAGTGGACTGAATTAAGATTGTTAACTTATAAAATATATAAACCGGCCAAGAACGAGTTGGAGTCGTGCACCGAGGATTCTCCACAGATTCGAAAAGGCAGTTTTACAGAATTGAAACTAATTTGTTATCTATCATAAGGAATAATGTGAGTTAAGATTCGAACCTATCACAATCCAAGCAACTATTAGATAAAATTACATATATCGCCCAGATTCGAAAATGTAATAACCTATATAACGAAGGTACCAACCACAACGTATTAATTCGGGTCGGGGCCCGAAGCAAAATAAGAAATTCAATTTTTTTAATTGACCTGACTAGGATTCGAACCCGGGACTTCATAGATGGCGACTCCCGAAAATCCACTTGGCCATGGAGGTCGTCTATCGTTCGATTATGAAATGTCATAGGTCACATCATCTCTGACACTTGGGAATGGTGAATTTAGAAATATATGTGTATTTCTTCATGATAAATTTCAATTGGTGTACCTTGTTATAAATAAATAAATAAATATAGCACTGCGAATGCAAAATTAAAAAATATAATAAATTTAGTCTAACTCGTGCAACGAAACTGTTACCTTTATCAAGTGAAAATCACTCACCTATCGAATTGAAAGATTATGCAGATGATGGTCTCGCTCTCTCATCACCTCGTCACATTGTCGTCTCGCTACTGAAACAAACAAAAACACAAGTTGGTAATTAAAGGAAAAGAAAATCAAACTTTTTCAATTTAAGCATTTGTATAAATTACCACCGGCATAAAGAGATGAAAACAAATTCACTCGCTCTCTGTATCGCTAGTGATGGATATTTTAATCATAATTCATTTCAAATTATTCTTTTCCAAAAACTTATAAAAGCAGCAATCCATCGCACGCTAATATTTATAGCATTAAATTGTTTTACATAGCGCCATTAGTTAACTGTATTATTTAACAACTTGATTCACATCATTGTCAATAATGCAATAAAAAAAAGTATCATGTTTATGATTATCAATGACCGTCAGTAGGCGTCATTCATAATAGCACACCTTCAAATGAACAGTAACACCTCAATATCATCTGTACCTGTTTTTTACAGATGTGTCAATATTTAGGGTGATCAGGTGTTGATCACACGAATAAATACAATAACACTTATTGTCTAAATCATAAAGAATACTATCCAATCCGTCAACATTAAAATTAAATCTCATATTGTCATAATGCACCCACATTGCCGGTAGGCGCGTTATGCCGTCATAAATACGCATTGGTATTTCTGTCATCGTCATCTACATACAAAGGGTTAATTATTTAACTCCCATGCCGCTGACAGGCGTATTGTATTGGTTAACGGGAAGCTTTTTGCAAGCTCCTACTCCTTAGTGAACAGTAAGTAACTGTTAACATTAGAAATTATGGTTTTGATATTTCTATGCTCTATATAAAATGATCTATAATAGTATTCTAGTTAAGGCTTACTGTTTTCAAATGCAAAAAACTAACTAAAATATATCTCGTACTGAACAGTCTCAAAATTGCAAATGTGTATATCCAACACCGTGGATTTAAAAATAATTAAAAACAGTTTATTCATCAACTTATTTAGTACATAAACAATATAGCGAAGCTGGGACCTGCCCAGTAAGTGTACAATGATACCTGTAGAAGGAGGCCCCACTCTTCCTAATAATGGCATACATTTATTTATTTACCGAACTACATAACATGCAAGGTAATACATATTCATTTTTACGGGTATATTGAATTAAGTATATTGTGATGCGTGTGTGCGTGGGTGTGTGTACATGTGTTTATGAGTGCGTGTGCATGTGTGTGTTTGTGCGTGCGTGTGCATGAGTGTGTTTGTACTTGCGTGTTCGTGGGTGTGTGTGTATGTACGACAACATTATTTAGTTGACTTCGGTGGCAATATTTTGTTTTATAGTTTTGGCATTATTAACATTATGTATCAAATCAATATTTAATTTAAAACATTTTAGTAGTAAAGGGAACCACATAGACTAAATATATAAGAAGGAATTCATTTAAAAAAAAATACTGTCCACCGAAATCAATGTTCTAAGCACCGAAATCAAATATATCAAATAATTTATTTTCTGTAGATTATTTTTCTTCTATAAATGTTTTATTGCCTTAGATAACTTTGAACATAATGTGTGTGAGAAATTACTGGCTAATTTTTGAGTAAAACATTTTTATATCGAGATTATATCTCATTTATTAAAAACCAAAAATCAACCCTGGAAGCGTTAAATTATTATGTTGACAGTAATTAAAAATAGTAGGTAGGTTTAATAATATTATTTGCGCCTGGCAAATGTGAAAAATCTTGTTCGGTATATACTTATTATACGCCAATGACCCGGTTTATACGTTGCGACGCTTCACATCAAAAATGTTATATTCCTCGTCACTGCTTTTGGAATTGCATCTTTGGAATTTAAAATGTTGGAGAATACATCATTACTGTCACACGTGTCTAAAAGCTGTCATTTTCATGCAATTCAATATCTGATGTTAAGGTATGGGACAGGCTCTGATTGGTTTCATAGAAGTGATGAGCAAGATCAGCAGAATAGCTACTGCCAGGTTTAATCAGAATGTTTGATAAAATTTCAGGTTTATTAGATTTGACGCCACTCCCTTTTTTAGCTTGACTTGACTTTGTAATCAGATCAATCTTATCACTCTTGTTCTTGTTGGTTCTATCAGCCAGCACTCCGTTAGTTTGCTTGCCAATGATGTATAACCCTAGATGATAGCCATGTTCACACGAAGTTGAATTATACTTACAGTCGCCTTCGGCACAACAAATTTGTATACCGCCTGATGAACTTTCAAAGTCCCTGCAAATTGCTTGGTCCCTGCAAATTGGTGGAATCAACAGCTCTTTTTCATAAATAACAAAATCGTAAATAGTTTTCGTTATAATACCTTGAACAGATTGCAGATGAGTCATCAATGAAGATAAGCTTGTGATATCATAGCCTTGAGCAACTATTCGATCAGCTGTTCTTTTTAGAATTTCACTTGCGTATTTTGTACTATAATTCTCACTAGAATCGCAGTGAATTATGCACTCTTCATCAGTGAGATTAGTTTTCAATTTTTTAATAAATCTGTTCTATGCGATCATAATCCCGCAGTGAATCACGTAACGTGGTAACATTTTTTCAAAATTTTAAAATGGCGTCTTTAGGGAAGGCATTACTTTTATGTTTCGCTGTGTGTATGGTGTTTTTTTTTACTCCATTCTTGGAATAAGTTCTTTTACTTTTTTGCCATATCCAGTAAAATAATCCATGAGCGTTATTGAATTCTTTATAAATCAAGCTTTTATCTTTGCAGTCATCTCATTTCCTTGTTAAACATAACAAATTCGAAGAGTCACAGCAGTCATGACAATATATCTTTGGTAGATATTTCTTGAATTAAGCTGTTTTTTTTTTTAACGCGGTCACCATTAACTCCATATTTTCATGGTCATTACAAAGACAAGTTTCTCGTTTATTTACAGTTGGTTTCAGTATCCACAACGGTCGTTTTATGCAAAAACTGGAGTAAATAATTTTACTTTGGGGATTTGTTTGCTTAAATTTAGTGTATAAGTCTTTTAAGGAATCATTTAAGTAGCGTCTTTGTTGTTTATCCTTTTCTTTGGTAACGAACTCCTTCTTTCCTGAACACATATAACTGTTTTCATCTTCTTCAAGGAAGAGCTTAATGTCCAAATTATTTCTTATTGTTTTTATAGTTTCTCATTTCTTTTGTTGATTCATATCGTCAGTATGGGTTTTAATCGTAAGTTCATATTTTCTTAACTTGCCACTTTGGTATTTTAATCTATATAACTGTTTTCGTTGTCGTTCGTTGACAATCTTTAATTCATCGATCTTTTTTTTATGTAACTGTAATATCTTGTTCATGCGATATTTAAGTCTACGTATAATAACTTTGGGACTTAGTTTCTTGATAACTTTTGGAGTCAGAGGAAACTCTTTTTCAATCATCTGATGATATGATAAATGGCTTTGAAATTACACTTACAGGCTTAATCTTTCCTTCATTCTTCCTTTTATAATATTTTTGCCTATCTTTCTCCTTGTGCACTGCGTAAAACTCTGGGACACTCTTGATGCGAGCTTTTCGAAGTCGTTCAGCCAATCTTTTTTAACCAACCGATCTTCTTTTGAATCAGCCATAATCACAATACTGAAACAGGATGAGAGGTGATGAAAAAATTATATAAAACAACATTGAAATGTAAATAAATAACAATGATTGATTTCGGTGGTTTCAAAATTGATATCGGTGTGCTTATTTCCACCGAAAACACTGAAGTCAATTCCACTGAAATCAAAATAATTAACAAAATTCTAGATATCTTAAAAAATGAGAAGAATTTTTAATATGGATCTCTTTTATTGATTTCGAATACACAAAACACATATTATTATCATAGTTTAAACATTTTAACTCAAATATTTACGAGTAAAATGAATTCACCGAAATCAATTCTAAGGGTTACCAAGCCACCGAAAACGATTACGTACTTTCATTAAAGGAGTTCCACGGCGACGCACAGACGTGTTATTCTTGCCACCCATGCAGTGCGACGGTCATTTTCTATCACTTCAACTAATATTCTTGAACTCGCTAGATTAAGGAGTTATGAACGGATCTGTGCGTACCACTGATATCAACTCTAAACATCGGACGTGAAGACAATTACTTGTAACTTGTCTACCGAGGCCTATAATGACGTACAAATGTTATAAAATGAATTAATAACTATCTAGTTATTTGTGAACATTTACAAAGTAGTGACATACATTGGAGAAAAAAATATAAAAAATGATTTTCACCTCAATCGGGGGCCGGACGCGGCACCGAGGTCAATATTTTCAAAGTTTTTGATTTTTTTTACTAACTTGCATTTTATTTATTTCAAAAATAACACAAGCTTCACCTTATATTCGGTCATATCTATCATAGAAAATAATATCACGTTCTTAATTATCCATTTCGTACTGCATTTCGACCCGGACACGCTTATTTGAGCCGGCTGAGAATGACCCATACTATGTACAGTACACGTACCCAGCCTTACGACAAATTATCAATACATAACAAAAATCTATAGTAATTTTAGCGTTAACAAACTCAAAAACCGTACATTTTAATAAGTGCCTTTTCTTCAACATTGTGCTAAAATGATAAACTAGAGTAGAAGCATTCCTTACGTAAGGCAATACCAGAAAGAGATGAGCCATTTGATTTCAACGAAGAATCTCAAAATAATATTATGTAGTCAGTCACCCACTCGAAGAGCGGCATTCACAAAAGTTGCTCAATCAAATGCGCTTACCACTGCCCGATCAAACTGAATAATATCTCAATAATCTGTGGTAACTTATTCCGCAATGCGGATACTGAATAATATAATAATAATAAAATGTCATTAAATCTTCCAACAAAGGTGTTCGACTCAGAGTTGACCGGCATTATGTCATCTATAATACTAGGGTTGAACATGCCAATAGGTATTTATAATTTTTAAAGGCCTTAAGTATATATATTAATAAGAAAAAGTATGCCTGTGCTCATTAATATCAACAGTCAGTCAGCACGTCCGATTATACAAATCTCTAATTCAAATTAC